ACTATGTTTAAATACTGAACTGCCCGGACGATCGATGTGGACCTCCCACGTAAATGATGTTACTGACTCCCATACGCCAGGTAGAGTTATGCCAGGCCATTAAGTCACAAACTGCCTAACTTTAGTTAACACCATTGCCTATTCCATCTGTGCACTGATCGTCCAAGTGTCGCTTATTTCCTTGCGCGGATACCACCCACTAATGCGTGACATCCAGCAGTTGCCGAGAAGCCAAACAATATGACCAGCCCATCGGATTTTACATTCTCGCTTGGTTGCAATATTCATTTTAGCTGGTTACATTCCTATGCATAGCACCCTGAGGGGCCGGTATAACAAACGATGATTTTAGATCGCTGGCCTCTTCCCCATTGTAATTTTCCAGTTTACCATCCAGTCTCCAGTGAAGAATGCAGCAGTCAGATTTTCCAAGGGTCACTTGAAAGCTGGAAGTGAGCATTTCCAACGTTTGCGAAGGAAAGTACGCAGGGATTTTGTACTTGAAGATTTTTCTACAGTAGTTTACATAGCCATGTTACATAATCGAGTATAACAGAAAACTGTTTGCAGTCAAATTTAGGATTTGCCGCGTATCAAATTATCGGAATGTGAGCCACGCGAATACGATTCCGACGGGATAAGCGTCGACGAAAGTGCACTTATAAACAATCATGCAGGTGGCAACAGCAGTGAGGAAGACTGACCAGCTCCTCCAGTAGTACATTGTGCAGTACTGGGATTCTACTGACTAAGCGAATATACTAGCAGTGCAGCCCGAGATGCTAACCCCGCGGAGCAGTACCGCATAGTGCTTTGTTAAATTGTTAGGAGAGAACTAGTGCAGTCGTCGCTGCGAAAAATGTTTACTAATTTTTATTTTATTTTCAAATGGTCCGAGCTTAAACAGCATTAAGCAAAGACCCTCCAGCAACTCGGTATGCTGGAAGCGCTGGACAGACTCCGGCAGCTTGCCAGCACCAGTTACGGCTGAGATTGAGCACTATTTTTGTCAAAGTATTTTCACATCAAACTTTTCGGTAATTCACGAGACGGTTTTTGTAGACAGAATAAGCTGAAGAAAATGCGAATCTCTGGTTTATGGTAGCAGACAGTATCTGCTGATGTTCAACCAGTGGGGGGAGAGAGAAGCAATTTTAAAATATTCACAACAACTTTGTCCCGGTAGCTGCGTTTTTTGGGATCCATCACTGCTCAAGCGGCGAATGGATGGGGCTGAAAAGAAATCTCGATTCGCTTCTTTAATTGCATTAAAATGCAAGCTTTGCAATCGGCCACATCTGACTTCTGCCCACAAACAATTCTGACCGGAAAACAGAGCTGCGAGATGATTCCGTTCCGATAATTCTGTACATAAATTTAGGTGCTCTGTGTCATTTCGGTTCATTTATTGTCGGTGCTTTGAGTTGTTCTTGTTAATAACTTCCGTTACTTCGCTCTCTATCCATTCATAAAATATTCCCTTCTGTTAATCGAAAAGAATTTCAGCACTGCCAGCATTCGTCAACGAACCTGTAAAAGGTTGCCAGTTGCGTAGCTCAACAGCCGCTGCGTTTTGTACAAAATGCTTCTTCCCAGACATACAGAAACTTTAGCTATCACTGTTTTTAGTTCCCATCATCGCGAAATGCTTCAAATTAAGACAGAAACACCCCCGCGTATGATAACAGACAGAGGCTCTGCGTGGACCCGTATGTATGTATGTGCGCATACATGCCAACATATAACAGATCGCCCATTCAAAGGAGACAATAACGAACGAAAAAATCGATTGCATTCGACAAAAAAACTTTATACGAAATATGTCAGCGAAAGCGAAAAGTCCCAGCTGAAGCGCCAACCAACAAGCCTAGACGATGTGCTGGCAAGTAACGGGACTCTGCGAACCCTGTTGCCCCACATGAGAAGCGAAAAGGTCAATGAAAATTGCACCAACGAGTAATGAACTAGCTCCAGCTGGCAGTACTAACGATTTCCAAAACTCGCCTCGGCTCGGCCGGCGTCATACATGATTTGCGAGAGATTTTTTTCCGATAATGGCGGGTCGAGTTGCCACATGACGAATGGCGAAAGTTCGGATGTGGCAGGTGGGTTTGGGTGGGAGACAGGGTGAAGGAGATACTGCAGCGTTTCGTTTGAGGCGGGGGAGGGGCTGGGATAGATGGATTTAACCGGTACGATCATCAGTCGGCTGGCCAGGTCAGGTACATTGGAGGGGAGAGAGGGTGGAGGAAGTGGAGAGAAGGGGTGGTGGATGGAAAGGAGGAGGAAGTGTGTTGCTGGTTTTTGCCGTGGATAACCGGAGTAGGGAAAGCGCTGAAATGTTTGTTTCCGGAGTGCTCTTACAGTGGGGATGGAAAGGAACGCAGATGTTGCTTTGCAGGCAGGGTTTGGGAAAGAGGGTAAGGAAGAGGAACGAAGATACAAATATTTCTGTTACATACATTTTTTTAGACACCTTTCCCATTTTATTATCCTTTTCCTCCTTTTCATTGTGTCCTTCTTCTCCTGACATTTTCTTTTCATCCTCTAATACAGGTCATGAGCCGGGGCTAGAACGGGAGAGAGCAGCAAAGAGCGACTAAACCCACCTATTCCCCTGCCTCTCCCCCGCTACCACATTCGGACTCCCGCCGCTGTCCGTGGGTAACCCTGCCCCATATGCGGAAAAAATCTTTCGCAAATTGTGTGTGGTGCCGGTGAAGCCGAGCCGAATTTTGGTAACTGCGAAATTTTCATCTCATTTTGTGTTCTGGCATATTGCTACTGGGTGTGCTTATCATGGGTTCGAGATTCTGCCTCATCTCACACGTGTTACGCTTCGGGTGAGAGGTTGTTTTCTGCCAGCGAGAAATTTTCATTGGAATAGTCTCTGGGGTATCGCCAAGAAGCGGCGGGCCCGTCTTTGGGGAGCTGGTGATCTCTTCTGAGCGCATGTCAGGATCAGCCGAGGATGGCACTGGTCGCAGCACTGGTCGAATGGAGAAGCTGCGAGCTATATGGCTGCAGCTGATCTTAGGTGGCCAGTGCAGTGCGCAGTACAGCTACGTTGAGGGTGCCCTCTCAGTGCTTCGTTGTACAGCTCCCGGCACCTGCTGCTCAAGCAGCGGTTGCCTCTGCTGGCAGCAGCAGCAGCAGCAGCAACAACACCAGCAGCAGCAGCAACAACAGCAGCCGGATAATATGTGCACTTTGGTTATTGCTGTGAGGGGGATCACTCCGCTGATTTGGTTAACTGAAACTGCCCGGGTGCCTGTGCAGTTCGAGCCCGAACTTTGTGCAACTTCCGGGCATGGGCCAGCTGCTGCTTGTTGGCCCTGCGCAGTAATGAGGTGGCCTTGCGCTTTGCCGAATTGCGTGGTAGCCAGAAGATGTTTGGGCTGCAGAGGGAGAGTGTGTCGGGTTGTGCACCATTGTGCTAGTTGCGGCTGCTTCTGGTGTCTATCTTTGGATTTGAAAAATGTTATTTGAGATGGTCATTTCCTCTCCAAATAACAGCAATTGCGGAGGCCTTGCCATCTTCGCATAGCAAGGCCAGTCGGGCTATCAGGCTGCTGCTGCTGCTGCTGCTGCAGTCACGAATTGAATGGTAAAGTTTGAGATGGATGTGTGGGCGAAAGAGAGATTTTATTCGCCGTGTTTTGCGCTCTCGCTGTTCGCTGACTTCGTTGAAAATGCGTTACTGTTTTAGCAAATGGTCGAAACTGCTGAGCGCCCTGAAAGCGAGTCTGCCCGTCAGCTGTCCAAGAAAGAATTAAGGGTTGGTCCAGCACAATTCCATTTTTATTACCTCCACTTATTATTTTTATGCGTTTTTTGCAGCAATGCAATGCGAAAAACGCATGTTGACGAGAGGTTGTCTTTGTGTGTGTGTGTCTGTGTGTGCGCTGGGACTGTACCGATTTTTCATCTCGAGACCGGCAAAAGCTACGGGGCTGAAACTTTGAGGGTATAATCTACAAATTTTTCATCTCGAGACCGGCAAAAGCTACGGGGCTGAAACTTTGGGGACTTAATCTGCATGCACGTACGGGCTCGAAACTTTGGAGACTTATCTGATGCACGTACGGGGAAGACCGGCAAAAGCTACGGGGCTGAAACTTTGGGGACTTAATCTACATGCACGCACGGGTCCCTATGATCTCGAGACCGGCAAAAGCTACGGGGCTGAAACTTTGGGGTCTTAATCTACATGCACGTACGGGCCCCTATCTCCCAAATGGGCGGTCTTTCCCGCGTGGTACCCACGTAAGACCCCGCCAAAGTTTTTTACGGGGAAGCTGATAACTCGCGAACCAGAAAAGCTAGAGAGCTGAGATGGAATGTTCCCCGCCCAAGTAGGTACTGATGAGCTCAAATCCAGCCCCCGGGTAAGCGTGGTACCCACGTACGGGCCCCTCAAAATTTTTTCCGCGTAAAATCATAACTCGGGGTTCTGAGATGCTAGAGAGCTGAAATTTTATGGGAATGTTCCCCGCCCAAATAAGTACCAATGCGTTCAAACCCAGCCCCCGGGTAAGCGTGGTACCCGTGTACGAGCCTCCCAAAATTT